CCCAAATTACATGATTTTCTCTCAGTCACGAGAACAACTGTTATCCCTTAGTTCTCTTGCAGAACCTTTTTGTCATAATAACATTCCAGCCAAAACAGCCCCCATGAGACTAAATCAATCAAAGCCATAAAACAGGAATGTTTTTGTCATGCCGAGCCCTGTGGCTCATGTCTTACAGTTACAAAACTACCCGTGTCAAAACTGGATCAGTTAGCCCATCTCCACAGACACAGCCAGCTACTCAAAATTCAACACGCTTTCTAATTTGAGCATAATTTCTGCAAATAATCAGATGTCTCCCTGCCAGGAACTTTCCCTTCTGGTGACGTGGTTTTCATGCTGAGTTTATTTTCTGTATGTGCTAGAGTAACATTTTGGGCAGGGGATCCCCCTGTGTAAGAAACTGAGGGGGAATTGCAAGAATTAAGTGCAAGTCTAGTGTGCTAAGCACGCTAATATCCCTGCGTGACTCCACGCCACCCTTGACTACAGGTCCACACAAGTCAAGAGAAAGCTCATGCTAGTGAGCAGAAGGCTGACTTAGCTTCACCTTGTGCTATGGAGCAAAGACACCCAGTGCAGGTCAGTCTTGGTCCCCCCAGCTTCAGCCCACAGCTTCTCCCTGCTGCCCCCATGGAGAAGGAAGCGTTGGAGAAGGCAGCTCTAGAGACACCAAGAGAGCAGGGCAAGAAAAGCTCCCACATGAGGTTTTGCCTGTCTCGTGCAGTCTTCATGCTCACAGGCGAGTCACACGGACTCCAGAAAAGTCTGGGTATTGCTGCCTTCCTTGGGGGCCTCACGTCCCTGTGAGCAGAAATCCACTTTTCATTAAAAGAGCCATTGGGGAGCTTTGTTGAAACTGATACTGCAGAAATAGATGTTCCTCGCGTGCTGCCTTCCTGCTCTGTAATGGCTCGTGCATTAGGGACTGGGGGGGATGGGGGTAGCACGCTGCTGTTGTCCATTTACTTTAGTAAAGATTGCTATTGAATGAAACCTTTAATGGGGTGTTTATGATCCCTGTCAACTAAGAGCTTGGCGAGGGCTCGCTGTGGAAGAGCCTCTCGCTCCACCTTGGCGGCCATTAGAGAATCGATGCAGGTGATCCCGTGGCGCGTGGTCAGCGCCTGCCGCCGCGGGGCTGCCGTGGGCCCCGGCCGCGGTCACTTAGAGAGCCTGCGGGTCAAGCTGGTGGGAAAGCGAGACTCCCGCCGGGAGCACTGGCGCTGGACACCACATCCGCAGGGCTGGCCTGCCCGGCATGGCGCCCTCCCAGCGCGCAGAGCTGGCGGCCCCTCACCGGGCCTGCTAAACCGAGTCCGGAAGTGCCACCAGGCTAAGCCAGGTACCTAAGTAAGTAAGTGCCTCATCTACACATTTTTTGAATGCTGAAGGGACGGAGACTCCACTAGAAACTGGGTTTTTCTCACTGCTATTCTGCAGACTGACCGTAGCAAGACTTGTGTGACTGCCCAGTATTCTCTTTATTACACTGGCGAGCCTGAGGCCCATCCTGTGAATTTCAGACTAGCTTTCCACTGCTGCCGGGCAACTAAAAACTGGTTTGCAGGGCAGTCCCCATAAGGAGAGCACACCTGACATGCAGCAACCAGGAGATGGAGATGGAGAGGCTGGTCCTGCTGCGCCATGGGCCAAGGTACCACAGGGCTTTCTTAAAGTAAGCGCTCTGAGATACCTCCAACGTCAATGCCCAACCTGGGACACCTCAAAGAGATTTGCTTTCCAGGAAGGGCTTTCGCCTGGGAAGTTCGAGTCAAAGCTTGACTTGAACACACCAAATACACAGGGAGTTGCTGAAAATCTGTATGTCAGGATTTTACACAAGTCCAAAGCAGAGAAGAAGGGCAGAATGCAGGGCATGCATCTCCTGCCACCTCTCCTGGCACCCGGCTGAGGCCCTGCGGCCTGTGAGCTAAGGAGAGCCACAGAGAGGAAGAAATCGCGGCAAGGAATAAAAGGAGCAGCAGGAAGGACAGAAGTAAAGGTGGTGGTGCCTGAGCTTGTAGGAGAAACACCAACCCCAGAGCATGCAATAGGCACGTAAGAGACGGGGCGCCTGGAGCGTCTCCCGTGGTCAGCGAGCAGCCCGGCTCTAATCAATATTTGCTTGTGGCGTTAGCTTTACCCCGCTAAGCTCCTGGCTGCCTCGCGCTTCCCTCCGTGTTTAACCACCTCCCTCTGCCCCACAGCGGGGCTGGGGGCTGGGAGCTGCAGCCGGAGGCGGCAGATGTCCCTGGAGCGGCCTTTGTTCCCTTGCACTTGCCAGCCTGGGCTTTGGGACTCCCCTTTTGTTTGTGTCTCACCATTGTCATTCACCGCGGGGCTTTGCAGGAGCTGCACACACGCATCCTGCCTCCCCGGCAAAGCCACCCATGGCCGTCACCCTCCGCTTTCCACCTAGATCACTTTCCATCCAGCATTTAAAATACCCTCGTGCAGAAGATGCAAAGCCCTTAAATCAGTTTCCCAGGGGGCTCACTCATTCCCATGACTTGCCTCACTGCTCCTGCTGGCAGAACCCTTTTTAATCACGTTTAGGAGAAAGCCGGACAAAAACCGGGCAAGCAGTGCTAAAACCATCACTTAAGCCAGGCGGTGCAAGAAACACGTTGCATATGGAGCACTGCTGTCTGGACTGCCACGGTGCACGTGCTGCTGGGGCACGCAGGGCTGCAGGTTTCATGATGTTCAAGAGTAAGGACGGGAAAACCCCTATCCCATCTGAGCCGGGTCAGGAAAACAGCAGCTCCTGGGATGCAAACAGGGTGGGAGACACAGAGGCAGCCCCTAATCTAAACCTAATCTCTCCTAAATCCTGTCCAACAAGAGCATCAGTATGTTTGCGATGGCAATTGCTGCGTTTCCCTCACAGGAGGGTAAAGGTGTCCTGCTCCCTCGCTGCCTCCCTCCCACGGGCTGGCAGTGCCATAAAAAAAAAAGTATAGTCCATTAGTGTTTGCTAGAGCCTCAAATAATTTATGTATTTATTTTGTTCTTTGCATGAATTTCAAAGTAACAGTCTTAATATATCTACATAAAACATTCAGATATACAGGCTTAATAACAGGCAAGATAAACAAGTAACCATAGCATAACCACAACCATGAGTACAAGTAAAATCCTTCACATTTTTTTTTATAGACAGTTCGGCAACACAGTACTGCAGGAGAGCACCAATATTTTGTATGAGGTATTTGAGAGTCCCTGATGCAGAAGAAAACACATAGCTAAGAACATGACAAATGAAAAGGCACCACTTAAATGACTCACCATAAGCAATGAGATACAGCCTATGTATGAGGCTGACTGTGGGTTTATTTTTCATAGTACTTCCATTCCTAGCCAGAATATTTACTTTATTGCCAAGTAGGTGATGATTTCACCAAATCCTGATTTACTGAACCGGCATGCAGAATTCACATTTCTTCTGGCTGGGGTTTTGGGTGCTTGGGAAGAAAGCCCTCCTTACAGGCAGGCCCTCACTGGGCTAGGCTCTCAATGTGGACAAAATGCTGCTTTCTGTATTGCAAGACTCTTTGGTATTAGAATATTCAGAACATTCATAACAAAGCATTGATCTTCATCCCACCTATGGGATATTGTACAAACATATCAAGTCGATATGTATGTACAATATTAACACTGAATTTGTTTCACACCCTACTTAGTGCTGGGCCTCAGCATTTCCCTTACAAGTAAGTGGTTTTATAAATATTCAAGTTTTTAAACCAAGAAAATAATGAGAACAAATCAACATCAATGCACAGAAAAACAGTGAGAAATTAGTGCAAATCAATATACATATTTATAGATATACTATCTACAGGACATAATAAAATGTGCAAGTAACATTCTTCTAGTTGCAGTGTCTACGCTGTATTTAAAGTAAAAATGTTAAGGTTGGTAGACACAAAATAAATTCCATCTCCTGTACCTATGTGCAAAGTCCTAGTTAGTCCTAACCGACGCAGGATATCCAAAAAGAGCTTCATCCTCCCAGTGACATCAAACTAGCGGGGTTAACTAACAAGGCTCCAGACAGGGCTCCCGTTGTCCCCCGGGATGCAACCCACAGCCCTGTTAACAGGGGAAGCTCCACACACAGGCACAGCCCCCTGCGCGTGGGTGCAGGAGCCAGCACTGGCCTCTGCATCGGCTCCGATGCTCCCCGCGCTCGGCGACCCTTCAGCCCAGGCTTCCCACCACATCTCCATGTGAGCTGACATGTTGCACCGCCCGCCAATGTTATTTTGCTAAGAATTCTAGAATTCTTCAAGTTCAAACACCTCAGTTTCCACAGTGAAATGATTTTATCCATTGCCATATGCATAGAAGCTTAGTCAAAGGTGGTGGTATGGATGGGGAGGATGTTCTCCAACATGAGAATAGAAAGCAAAAGAAGGAACCGAACCTGAACTTTCAAGGAAAATATCCTACAGTAGAACTTCTCATCCATAGCTAAACGAATAGCTCTTTCAATAGAGCAAATGGCTTTTTATAAACTTTTTTTTTCTAAAAAAATAAAAAATAAATAAACACATTAAAATTAACATAAAAAAGCACACAAATTGGTCCTGACTTGGCTGCACGAACAGCGGGAAGCGGAGGGTGAAACCCTGCAGTCCTCCCTCGCAGGCTGAGCAGTGCCCGCAGGTTGGAGGGGGGACCTGGTGCAGAGAGAGCTGGGGGGCTGCCACGTCCTGGGCCTGTCTCTGCTACGCTCAGGTTGCACCTTAGCAAGAGGGAAGGCTTTTCCCTGCTGCTTTCTCCACAGCGGTGCCACAGGGCTCATTCCCAAACCTTTGTTCCTGCAGAGCTGTGAAACAGCTGATTTCCAAGGGCCTTCAGGAGCGCCACTGGGACGGGCATCCTGCACAGAGCGGAGAGGAGGAGATGGAGGAGCCCAGCCTCCCCGCCAGGCCTCGCAGCGAAGGGGACATCTCCGGGTCGGCCGGAGCGCGCGCGGAGCTGCCGCGGGGCTAGCAGGCGCCGTGGAACTGCATGTGGAAGCGGAGCTCGTCGGGCTGCGGGAAGAGCTGCCCGCACACGGCGCAGGCGCAGCCCTTGTCGCGGCTGTGCGTGCGCCGCACGTGGCTGTCGTGGGCCGCGTGCGAGGCAAACGCCTTGCCGCAGTGCTTGCACTTGAAGGGCTTCTCTCCCGAGTGCTGCCGGATGTGGGTGCGCAGGATGCTCGAGGCCGTGAACGCCTGCAACGGCACCACGCGTGGGGAAGGAGCGGGGTTAGCGCGCTCCAGCCTGGGGAAGGAGCGGGGTTAGCGCGCTCCCATGAGGGGAAGGAGCGGGGTTAGCGCGCTCCAGCCTGGGGAAGGAGCGGGGTTAGCACACTCCAGCGTGGGGAAGGAGCGGGGTTAGCGCGCTCCAGCCTGGGGAAGGAGCGGGGTTAGCGCGCTCCCATGAGGGGAAGGAGCGGGGTTAGCGCGCTCCAGCCTGGGGAAGGAGCGGGGTTAGCGCACTCCAGCGTGGGGAAGGAGCGGGGTTAGTGCGCTCCTATGAGGGGAAGGAGCGGGGTTAGCGCGCTCCAGCGCGGGGAAGGAGCGGGGTTAGTGCGCTCCAGCGCAGGGAAGGAGCGGGGTTAGCGCGCTCCACTGTTGTGACCCTCGGCTGCACGAGCCTGTGCAGTTACACGGTGCTCACGGAAGGGCTTCTGAGCAGAGACGCCAACAAGTGTCCAAGAACAAGGCAAGTCCTAGTTAGCTACTGTCCTAACTGTCCTAGTTAGCCCTGTATTTCGTGCATGCTGGGGAAAGGTAGTGCAGGTTCCTCCCTTCCAGTTTTTAATCGGAATGTTAAAAACTCTCATGGTCACATATATTGGCTTGGAGTTCAGGTGTCAGAAATGATCCAGGAAATCCAGTGTGTCTCCATCCTCCTGGATTTCCACTGTACTCTACTCTTCCTTTAGTCAGACCTTGCAGCCTTTTCTCTCTCCCCTCTCTCCAGCAGCAAAACCCTCCTGTGCCTTGGGAAAAAATCCTCTAAATGAGATTTCAGCAAAGATGTGGTAGAACAGCCCATGATTTCCCTCTTCCTGCAAAAGATCTTTAGGACTCCCTTACCACTTGCAGACCCCATAAAATTGCTCTGGCTGCTACCCCGACTTCCATTACAGTCTGGGAAAAACGCATTGCTGTAAGTTGAACTGCGGCATACTGGTTAGGCAGAGGACATTTTTATCCTTGCTATGCCTTAGGATAACCTCATCCTGCAGCCTGAGAACAGGTAAATAAAATCTCACCCATGAAAGATCTACCAGAGCCACCAGACCCTGCTCCCAAGTGTGACATGCCCTAGAGGGATCTGCTATTGCAGCATCATGCACATAAACCGCTCCACGACTGCAAGGTGAGTCCCATTTTGTGGCCCCTGCTCTGGAGCGCTTGATCCAGAAAAGGAAAATTAACAGGAGCAAGAAAAAGGCCACCAGCCCCGGGTGCAGCGCAGCAGAGCACGGGCGAGAGCGCCAGGCCGGGCACCCGCCGGGGCCGCGTCGTCCCCTACCTTGTTGCAGTAGACACACTTGTAGGGGCGCTCCCCGGAGTGAACCCTCATGTGCTTGTTCAGGCTGGAGGACTGAGAAAAGCTCTTCCCACACACTGAGCACTGAAAAAAACAGATTTATATATATATATATAAAGAAAATACTAAAAGTTAACAGGAAGCATATGACAGCACAACTAATAAAATGGTAGGATGGGTGCAAATATTTAACTACATATTTTCATATACAGACACATGAGTAATTTAAATAGCAATTTATTTAACCGACTTAATGCTAATGCATTTTAAGAAAGATTTTAAAAAAGGAAAATTGTTCAAAAATTCAAAACTTTTTTAATTTTTTTGCGTATAGTTCAAAATCATTTCATCAAAATCTGTCCTTCAATATCATCATCTTTCTTCAAAATGCAACAATGTAAACAAGTCTTAAGTTAATATTTTTACTCAACAACTAAAACAATCTTTTTTTTTTAACTAATAGAAATTTTAAAGGGGACCTCAAGACAATTCTCATTTTTCAGAAATGGTCAGTCACATCATTTTGTCTACAGCTGGATATTCCCGAAACGCCTCCCCGTGGGTCAGTGCAAGATGCACCACTTCATCTTCCGACGGAACAGGCACCTCAGCAGGTGCTGCCTGCCCCGGGTTGCAATAAAACCCAGTTCCAAGGGTGCCGGAGTCATAGGAGAGACTTGCACTGACTTGAGGGAAATCTGCATGAGGCCATAAATCATTTTCCTCCTGCAACTCTCTTGAAAGAAATCCTCCCTCATAAGTCTGAACTAAACTAAGCCATGACTGATTTTTTTTGCATTCATCTGTTCTCATTCAAATGCCGCATCTATTCAGAAAAAGTTTCTCTTCTTTTTGTTTTAAAGTATTTTTTGTACTCATTTCAAAATAAATTCTCTATGGAAGACAGAAGGAAAGAGAGAAAAAAAGAGAAAAGCACAACACATTTCAAACTTCATGTTCTACAGAATGGCATTTAAAATCTCTGCTGCCGGATCAAGGTGACAGCCTGACATAGCAGTATTGCCAACTTATTTCGAACACCTTTTCTGACCAATTCACGTGATTCTAGTGCAAATGATAAGACGGATATTTGGAAGATTTTCAGGAATGATTTAATTGTGTGAGAGGGCAGGGGGACCCGAGCCCAGGCAGCCCCGAGGTCCAGCTGGGCTCTGCACGCGCCGCTTTCATTCAAACTCAAATAGATCCGGGGAAAAAGCACTGAAAAACACAGGGCACCATCCAGAAATCCCGGAGAAATGTGCACTGGCTCCGCTGAGGCAAGTTAAGCTGCTTCTGGGATCTGTCGGAGCCAGCTGCAGCATCCTCGCCGCACGGGTCCTCTGCTCCCTCCGCACAAGGAGGGGTTTCCCGAGCAGACGCGGATTTCCCCTCAGGTCATTCCTCTTTCAAACTCTCACCAGCACTGCAGGGTCAGTTAGTTAGTGTAAATTCATTAATTCCTTTCACTAAACTCAGCGGCTTAAGACAAATTCTTCCTTTAGAGGCAGAATTCTTCCTCTACACTTTCCCGAAGTGCCAAGGAAACCAGAGTGGGAAGAAGCAGGGGAAAAGCACCAGCATCTTAACCTTTGCCAAAATAAGGTAATTAAGGGCAATTAATTACTCCGGAAAAGCAAGACCCCCGGGAAGGGGGCTTACCTTGTGAGGTCGGTGCTTTTCGTGGACGTGGAGAATGTGGATCCTGAGCCTGTCCCGCTTCTCAAAGGACCGGCTGCAGAGGTGGCACGGGAATTTCCTGTCGCCCTGGTCCACGCAGCGGGTGTACTTCAGGTGCTTGTCCCGGTAGTACTTGTAGGCAAAGACCTTGCCGCACCTCTCGCACTTGTAGCTCTCCCCGGCCTCTGCACAGCACAAGGGAAAGGGCCCATCTCCCCGTTACACCACAGCGGGAAGGTGGCAATCCTGAACCCGACCCTCTTTCCGAGCTGGAGCTCCACGGAAAGCTGCCGGGCTCCAGAGGGCTAACAGCATTAAGGGGATCTGGCAGGGCAGTTTAACAAAACCAGGGAGGATCTGCTAAGCAAACACGGTGCCCTGTTTGCCCCCACATTTCTGTCTAACAGGAGAGGAGGCACAAGAGTCCCCAGGCTAACGAAATTATTGTGTTTGGCCACTAACTTCAGCATATATGCAAGGATTCCAGCCTTGCATTTCCCTAACAGGGAAGGAACATACGGGAAAAACTGCTCCAACGCCTGCAACACGAAAGGTTGGAGGAACCAAACAGAAACAACAGTAGATATTTATTTTCTCTATTGTCCGAAAGTTTTACCTTTAAAAAGGGAAAAAATGGCTCTGCATATCTTTTCTAAGATTTTCAAACTAACTGTAGAACAAAAATTTTTTTTGGTTTTCTTTTGTGTTTCAATTCTTAACCACTGAATTTGGAAACAACTTAGGTAATTTTGCAAATACCTAAACAACCTTTTCTACCTTTAATACTACACAGCACTTTGGCTCTAAGCCTTAAAAGTGAAATCAGCAACTAACCAGCTATCTGGACCAGGCACCTTAAAACAGCGTCTCCAAATTCTCCATTTAGAGTTTTGCTAAATTCTCCTTTCTCTCTTACTGCTGCACTTCACAAACACATTCCTTGACAGCTCCAGCCTTCCCTGCATTTGCACAATTCCATTTTCTTCGTACGCAAGTTTTACTTCTACGAATGTCACACTTTCTATCTAAGGACAGTGCTCCCAGAGCGAGAACACAGCGCGTCCTCTGCAAGCAGCATCGGCATTACAGGACTGGAATAATTTCAGGCTCCCCGTTTGCTGAGAGCATTAATTGCAGGAAAGATGCCATAGCCAGGCACAATTAAAACAAAATCAAGCCAGGAATGCACCGAAGCCTCTTTTCCTCCCCGAACAGGGCTGCCTGGAGGAAGGGCTGCCGCGGAGCGGGGACGGAGCGGCCGCCCGCTCTGCTGCTCCCCAGGGCGCTGTCAGGCAGCGCCAGATGTTTTACAGTCATCGAATTACCGCTTTTAACTCCCAAAGCAAACGAAAACGAGGAGCAAACCGCAGAGACGGGTGCCAGGCTCAAAGGGGAGCTTCGCTCAGGGCTGGCAGCAGCCCTGGGTGCAGGTTTTGATCCAGCCTCCCGGTGCCGAGGGGAAGCTGCTCTTTTGGGATGCTCTTTTGGGATGGCTGGGTGAGTAAGTGAACGGGAGGGTCTTTTAAAGCACTGGCAGGTGCCCTAGTGAGAGTCTAATCATGGCCAGACAGGGGTCTTGGCGTCAGAAGACCCTCCTGGGGATTTATTTCTCACCTTCGGCTTGCTGCGGGGGTTTCTTCCCGTCGGGCATGCCCTTCAGGCTGATGGGGATGCCCAGGAACTGCACGTAGCAGTCCCCGTACCACACGAGCAGCTCCTGCTTCGGGAGGATTTCCTTGCAGCTCTCATAGAAGATCTGGCCCTGGCACTGGATAGCCGTCAGGTTCTGCTCCTCGGGGAAGCGGGCGCAGTTCACCAGGGACATCCAGTTGCCGGCAGCTCCCCTGCCGTCTATGAAGTGGCTCAGGCGCCCGTATTCGAAGATCTGGGAAGCAGAGGCGAGAAACGGGTCAGCTCTGGGCCCTTCCCGAGGGCTCCCACTTGCACTGACCCCAACCCCGAGGCTGGGGGCGAGGGGCGGCCAAACGGACGAGATCTCCGCGGCATTTCGGCGGGCGCAGGGAGCCTCGCGCCCGCCGAGGCCGGGGGGTCCCTCCCTCCCACATGAGGGAGTTGTCGTCGTACGTCTTGATCTCGCTGGTGTTCACCACCTTGCCGCGGAAGGGCCCGAAGCGCACGCCCTTGGCGATGGGCTCCGTGCAGAACACGCCGAGCTGGGACACGTCCCCGCAGGCGGCGCGCAGGACAGCCAGCCCTGCGGAGCGGCGCGCGGGGAGCGCTCAGCGCGGGGCAGCGCTCCCGGGCCGGGCCGAGGGGGGAAACGGGGCGCGGGGAAGCGGGTGAGCGCGGGAGGACGGTCCCTACCTGAGGGCAGCTGCAGC